ATAATGTAGGCTTTGTGGACATAGCACAAATTGAATATATTAGGATTGAAGCTAAAAGTTGATACTGAATTTGAGCCGGCGACTTTCCATTTGTTAGTCCGACGCTTAGACAGCTAAGCCCCGCAGGCTCTCGATACATTCGCAAAGCATAATTTCGAGGTAACAAGATTTAGTTGAAGGTCCGCTTCTTGGTAATTTGAAAAACTGGAAATCCGAGTTGAAGCCGCCTTGATGTGTCTAAATATAAAATGTGACCACGAACACAGCTGCCACCTCCCATGCAATACACATTGCAAGGTGAAGTTGAGTTTCCTTTTAATGAACACGCAATGAGCAAAGTAGACGGATGACAAGTCGAGTGGCTAAGTGTGTGGGAGTAGTTAATTAATATTATCAGTTGAGATTTTGTGCTTGTTAGCAATCAGACTATTTATAAAGTGCATAGAAAAGGAAAAAATGCACAAGTTGTGTAGGTGTCGAATAGTTGCAGAGCTACGGCAAAATAAAAATAGCTACTTGCGATGCAATTGCTTGTCAGTTCGCTGTAATACTCAGTAGAGCTTGCTCGAGATGAGTTCCTCAAGTGTGGAAATATATCCTTGCAAAACTTTGCGAAAAGAAATATGTATAAATAAATGGACAACATATGTTTTATTATTTATAGCTTCGCTTCACATAATCAATATAAAGCAGAATATGTGTATACATATATCTATATGCTAAGCACTTGAACTTTACCGTGTCCTTAACAATTTTCCATCACATTCAAAGGATTATATTTAAGTGCTGACTATCAACTGGTTGCCGTTGCCTGTGATCAAAGCAATTCACGCACAATGACACAAACACAATACCTAAAGATATTTGTTCATTTGAAAAATTTGCTGGCAGCCAACCCGTTTCATAAACTTCTTGACAGGCAGCTCCAAAGGACAGCATTTTATGCCATCGAGCGAATACTTTACTGCATGGCAAACGTAGCCAAGTAATTTGTATATTAGTTTTCGCATCTTTTCGGCAAGAGCAGCACAACCGGAAAATTCCCATATCTAATCAAGCAAGTGCTCATTTCTAAAGCAACACCCCCTATGGAAAGTGCCTATACGCACACAGCCCGCAGCCCACAGTCGATGGTCGACGGTCGGCAGCCCACCAAGCCACGCCTCTTTTTCCTGTCGTGTAGTGTGCTAAAAGCATATTAAGCTCGTAAACAAATTTTGTAGTAGCTAAAGCAATTGCATACGCTGCTGCACTTTTCGGCTGATAAGCATACAATAAATGCACCAGAGAAAATTCTTGGTTAATCGAAGTGCTCGGCTAAAACAGTTTTGAGCTCATATGTGCCTTAACAAGATAAGCTTCAATTAAGCTCTATGCAACTTTCATATTTACAGGGAGCTTAAAAGAGCTTACAAATTTTAAGTGAACTTAATCTTAAGCGAACGCTTTTAAGCAGACAGATCTTGAGCTTGTAATTGACGCCAAGTGGTATTTTATAGCCATTCAAATTGTTTTTATGCTACGCAATATATTTAAGCTAAAGCTTTTTCTTTAGCTGCCTTACAAGATTAATCCAAAGCTTACTCGTAAAGCTGCTTGGGCGTTTTAAGTGTAACTTAAAGCTTTATGCAAGCTTTAAAGCTCAAGACACGCATAATGCTTTGCTCAAATGTTAGTTTAAGGTTTTGTTTGGTTTGTTATTTCGGCTGAAAGCTTTTCGATAACTTTTCTTCAACTGTTCACAAATGCAAGTGCCATTTGATTTAGTTAACGATAAGTTCTTTTTAAATTGTTTTGCATATTTTATTATTTGCTCGTTTCACTTCACTCAGAGGCTTACAGAGCATCTCTGCGGTCTGTTTCGGCAATGCTGCGTAATATTTCGTGCTTGTCATAAAAACGCTAGAAAATTCAATTTCCTTTTATTATTTATTTATTAATTTTTTATTTTGTAATTTTTGCTGCCCTTGCAAGAGCCCAAACAGCGCTGCTCCCTTCCTACCTGTTGCCTAGTTCAAACGACAGTGGCGACATTTCAGGCATGTGGTCAATGTGTGTGTGTGTGTGTGTTGTCATTCGGTACTTAGATGTCGATAGCAGCAAGCGTAACTGAAATGCTTCATTGCACTCAGCTGCACTGGCCAGCAGCTCGTCCTGCCTGCCGAATTGCTTAAAAATGCCGATGCACTTAGAGCTAAGCAAACACCCGCCCACACACAAACACACACATACACACACACACACATATACACACGCACACAAAGGAAAAGCATTTGTGCAGAGGATTTTGTGTATAACCCGGGGCCACAACCGAACAACGTTTGACCACTTAGATACGGGCCATGTGCCAAACTAAATGCTCCACACAACGTCCTGTAATATTGCGGACCACACCTGACATCTGGTTGCATGGCCGAAACAGAGGCGCCTTTGGATTTGGGCTCTAAAGCGGAGGTAACATCTTTGCCAGCAAAGTTGTTTGTGGTCTTAATACTAGCCCCTAACTGCTGCATAAACTCATATAGGTCGCATGCAAACACGCCCATGTGTTTCAATTCAACTCAATTACGTTTCACAGAAATCAGAATTTTTGTTTGAAATGCTTTTGCATTTGCGCAAATGATATATTTTCTTGGAATTGATTGTGAGAGAAATTAAGAACATATGATTTGATGCGAGTTTGTAAAGTGCATTTCCACAGAAATAACAATTATAAAAAATATATACAATTTATGTTTGACAAGCTTGCTGCCAGAACAATTCTGTCAAATGTGTTCGTGAAATATAAATTGCATTTAATTCGATTTGTGGAAATTTGTCAAATGTCTTCTGAAAAGTCAAATTCTGTCGAAGTTACTTCCGCGCACACATACATATGCAACCAAAACATTTCATTATTATAATTTAATTTACATAGCGTAGAGTCCTATTAATAAATCTTAATTGATATATGGCAAGTCTGTGGTAAAAACTTTCGTCTGCAAATTGCTTTTAATTATTTTCATTTGCAATTTGGAAGTAAATATCTGAAGAAGTTGCCGCGATGGAAAATTCAACAAGCACTTCAGTACTTTGGGCAAATATACATAAAACTTTTAATGAATGAAATGTACAGTCGATCCAGCACTTAACTCTTGTAATTAATCTGAGCAGGGAATATAAAGTTTTCGCACAGATAATGTTATGGCAAGTATTTAGTCGGGCCACATGACTGCGCCTGCATATTAAATGCGATTTAATAATAGGAGTGCATAAATTTTGGAAAATTTCTAACAGGGAGTTGCTTGAACATATAGGTGTATGTATTTTAAAGCAGGAGTGTTGCATGCAATTTTGGCTGTAGAGAGAGAGAGAGAGAGGGAGTGGGAGTGAGATCGGGCAGGTGGATGCCAAACGTGTGCTGGGTTGTTGTCAAAAGTTTGTCCAATATGACATTTGTCATATATTTAATTAAAACAAAATGCCGGAAATAAGTGAAGTGAAGTGAAGTGCAGAGCTGCGGCTGACAAAACTTCTCTAACTGGGTGCTTGACAGACACATAGACAGCAGGACGACAGCCAGAGAGACAGACAGACGGACAGACAGACAGACAGACAGACAGACAGCTGCCTCATGGGGCTTAAAACAACGTAGCTGCAAAGTTCGTAGGCAGGCTACCCAACCCGATCTCTCGCCCTCATTCCCTCTCAATCCCCAACAGATATCACACACACACACACACACACACACAAAAGGGTTGCCCATGTGGGTGAAAGAAGTAGCAGAGCAGAAAAAAAGGATTGCCCTGCCCTGGCATGCGCTGTCATTAAAAGGTTCGGAAAAAAAAACTTTGCGTATTCCGCCGTAGCCGAGGAATGTATATGAAAAACAGCAACAGGAAGCTCACAAACAAACAAAAATATTAGAAAAAAAATATTACATGCAAAAAAAAAACGTATAAAAAAAAAGGAAACGAAATGCGGGAGGAAATGGGATTTAGTATTAAGATCTCAACTTGGCGCTGCGCGAATGATGCAAATTTGTTAATTAAACAACGTCTCGTTGAAGCTCGCAAAGCCCATGAGCAACAAGCTGAGTAGCAAATCGTGTCGAGACCAGGCTCGACTTTATGTCTCGCTTGTAGACCTACGAGTGAGAAGTTGAGTCCTTTCCAATTATAAATATTAATACCTTTGTGGAGTAATATAACAAAGAAACGCGTAGCCCTTTGAAATTTATTCTGGTGAAGCCTTATACATGGAGTACGACATTATTAATTTACCATCCATTTGTCTAGGCTATGAAATGCAAGAGCCTGTGTGCCCCTTGACTGAGGCATTGCAACAATAATGCCCAAACTTAACTAAATGCTACTTACTGAAATAAATAATATATTGAATGTTAGTATAGTAGCACACTATTAACTAATGTTGTTAAACAACACTGGCAGCGGTGGCTGTCGGCTTGGACAATGTTACATGCATACATTGAGGACTCGAACCTACTGCAAATATTATTATAATCATTCATTTTAGCTTTGAGTAAGAACCTATAGATCCAAATTATTAACAGCTCTGGCTATTAAGTATAGCTAATTAGCCCAAAGCGGGCTTCGAACTCGAACCCCACTCGTGTGGTTGCCTTAATGGCTTGTTCGGGACAATATGATACTGGAACTAGCTGGAATATTGTGTGTGAAAAATAGTAGCCCATTGACAACTGGCAGTTGTAATGAACTCGTTCGGTGCAACTAGTTTGCTAGTTCACTTTAACAGGCTCTTTGTGGCAAGTGAATTATTCAGCAAAAGCCTTTCACAGAATGTAACATGTGTCCCTAACAAGTCAATTTCATAACTCTAGGTCAAGCTAATTGAAATATCGATCGGCCTTGTATTGAAAATGACTAGCCGCAAGGTGTTTGCGGAAGGGAAATAATCACATGCCGTCGAAGGGCGGTGAATTTGTGGGTGAACCGCACAGTTCAGTGGTTCAGAGGTTTCAATAACTGTCCCACAGTCAGTTATTAATTTATAAAACTGAATTATTTATTTAGCGTTGTTGTTAAACTGTAACGGCCAATAATAACAACCACAATAATCATAACGATTACAATAAAAATGAAATGAGAATAAAGACCAAAGGTCCACAATACAAATAAACTCCATGCTGTGTGTGTGTGTGCGTGTGCGTGTGCGTCGAGTCGTTGCGTTGATTTGATTGTTATTAGGTGTTGAATACATTCCCTCAACAACCGACTACAACAACTAAAAACACGTGCGTACTTCATAGCGCTTATCAGTACCATTCCCCAACAGCCCGAAGCGTTATCTCCTGCACCTGGGCATGCGGCGGGGTGGAGAGAGCATAGAGCACCGCTTGGGCCACATCGTCGGCCTGTAATATCACATCGCCCAGCTGCGTTTTGGTTTCGTCGGGCACTATCTCAGTGGATACCCAGCCGGGATTAATGCTCTGCAATATAAATTATTGATCAACAATTTTACTCTATTTACTCTATTTACTCTATTTGCCTGTGAACGTTCCTGTCAATGGGTAGAGCCTATACATTTCGACCTCTTGCATACAATAGCAAAAATAATATCAGATATGATTCTCAAGTGCTGTATATGCTAGACTTATACTATATATTTTCTTTATGCAGATAAGAGAAACTTCTCAATTTTTCATACTCTACCAGCGGGTACAATGCTTTGTCATGAAATATGTGAGGCATTGAAAGAATATATATATATATAAATAAATTCATATATTCAGTATCAGGAGCCGATGCGATATAACCATGCCAGAAACAGATCTCTGAGTCTTAAACCTATTATCATATAACTCTAGATCTGTTACTATAATATATTCATACATTCCAAAATGAAATTTTTCTATGAAAAACCTTTTCTTTTTCAATATATCTGAACTATTTTGATCAGTTATTATGATTCTTTCTTGTTAGTTTTAAATAAGTACTTGATATATTTCCCAAGTTATTTTTTTACTTGATCGAACTGAATACTTGTGAACGAAGTTTAGTAGAATATTCGGAAGAAATTTGTTGATAGTTTCGCCCACTTAATATCATATTGAGTTTAGGTACTGCGAACTATGAGATGGGTTTGTACTCCTGATAAAGAAGCTTTAAAGCGATGAATTGTGTTAAGAGCTCCTAAATCTGTGTATACCTCGCCAATCTAAAGATCTTAAGCTTACCGTTGTCTTGATTTTCAATTTCTGTGTGATTAACTCCTGTCGGCAAATCTCATGCACTGCGGTCAGTGCAAACTTGCTGGGCGTATACACATTCAGGCTGGGATCGTCCGGTCCGGGATTATAGCCAGCCAGGCCGGCGGTGCTGTTGATGAAGAACAGATGGCCGGCCATCTGGCGGCGGCGCATGCTGTTGGCCGCCAGCTTGGTGCAGTAGATGCTGCCCATCAGATTGGTCTGGAGCACATCGCTGATGTCCTTGACGGGCATGTCCAACAGATGGCCATCGCGCAGGATGCCCGCATTGTTGATCAGCACATCGATGCCGCCCAGCTGCTGTTCGATCCACTCAAATGCGCTGTTTACCTGCACCTCGGCAGAGACATCGCAGGCGCGCTGATGGAAGCGCTGGCGCTGATCCGCGGGCAGCGATTGACGCAGCTGCTCCAGACGCTCGGTGCGACGCGCAAGGCCAACAACCTGCAAACCGGCGGCCACCAGCAGCTTGGCACAAGCAGCTCCGATGCCCGAACTGGCGCCCGTTACGACCGCAACACGATTCTGCCAGCGCTCCATGATATTTGACAACTGCTGAATGTGACGATGCCGGCAGAGCGGGCTGTTTATATAGACGCCGCTTATCAATCGCTCATTTTATGGCACAGCTGGCGGGCCGAAGTGAGTGTAAGAAAGAGGTAGACGTGACCTCTTTCTCACTCTAGCTCTCGCTCTACCGCTCTATCGCTCTCCCAGCGCTGTGGCATGACGTGTCGCTCGCTCTCTGCTCTGCTCTTAGTAGGAACATACCACCCCAGCACAACAGCTGTTCTCAGGTTTAGGTTCACTGTGCTGATCCGACTCCAGGGGCCTGTTTTTTTGTTAGCTCTTCAGCTCTTATCAGCTAGCGCTCCGTCCGGCTGGTGATAAGCCTCACTGGGCTAAGGGCCTTAAAAAAAGCATAATTCATCATTTTGCTTTTGACTGCTACCATTTGCAGGGTATATTTGCATATGCATGTTGACATATATAAGTATGACATCTGACCTTCTACACCAAGAATGGTGCCTGTATGCAGAAATTTGATCGGAGACGTCTCCTTTCATGGGCTACACGCCTCGTGAGAAACTCATGTTGATGTTAAATACAATGTCAGCACTGGGAATATGAAGTATCTAGCTGGAGTTAGTTGTTTCGTTTGGACTGGAATTTCAGTCGAGCTCCCAAATGCCTTTTGTAAAAACAATTAAGTTTTATTGAAATTTTAGTTGTCTCGCCTTTAAGAAACTGTGGCTTTGAGTTTAGGTCTACTTTCAAATTAGCTGCTTGGCAAATGGGTTAATAAGGCTGCCGGCGATATAAACAACAGCCGCACACAAACACAGGCACAGACACATATGTACATATATGCTATATATATGAATATATATGGGCTATTAAAAAAGCCAACATGCAGTGCTGTTAAACGGCGTCTCAAGTTATGCCCAACCCAGCCAGAGATACACACACGCATACCGCACACCTACAACTACAGTTACACCTACAGACACACACACACGCACAACCGCACTTTAAATGGTATATGTCAGCCATATGTTGTCGGAGGATCTACTTGGGTCTTTCTGCTTTATCGCCGTTTTTCCTTTTTTATGGAACGCTCGTAACATTCAAGAGATGCTTAAATGGGAAACAATAAAAGCTCGATGAGTGCAGGAGAGTGTGTTGTGAGAGGGGTGGGGGTATGCGGGGTTTGGGCATTGGAGAGAAGCTGAGCGGAGCGGAGTAAAAAAACACTTGGGCTGGCTTAAGGCCAAATGGGTGCAGCTTCACACGAGTTTCTAACGAGCAAGCCTTTTTATACCCACTCTCTCTCTCCCTTTCTCTCCCTCTCTCTCGCTCCCTCTTCCGCTCTCTTGCTGGCTTTCAATATATCTGTCCTTTGTTCAAGTGCTGCAACATGTTGCAAGTGTGTGGCCATGTTCATCAAATCACGGCCGTCACTTTGCAGCACTTTATCATGCAATTACAAGTGCAAAACGTTCGCAGGAGCCACTTAAAAAATACTCGTTACACGCAACAACAACAACAACAACAATAACAGCAGCAACAACAACAACAACAACAACAATGTGCCCGACATATCGATACACAAATTGCTACGCATTCTATCAATCATGTTGCCCCATCTGATTAACACTTGGCATTCCCAAGCATTCTATTGTTCTTGGTGCTATCGCCAGCTGCAAGATCCAGGCTCCAGACATGAGCACAACAAATTTTTACTACGGCATGCCGCAGTCTAAATACCCTTACATACAAAGCTTATGTGACTTACTGAGCGATAACTGGCGGCGCTTTTATCCAGAATAAGTATTCTAGTTCGTATTGGTCGTCTTTTCGCGGGTCAAGTTCTTAGCTGCCAACCATTTCGCGCACGTGGAAAAATGTAAATTTTCACGTTCTACCTTGAACTTTTATTTTCAGCGGAGTGGATTTTTCGCCAGCTGTGCAACACGCTTAAAATGCTTTCACATTGATGCTTAAGACTGAATTTGAGCTCCGTCAGCTGAAAGTTGAACTTACGCCCTTTCAAGGCTTGGCCTCTGTTTATTCACCCAGTAAAATACTTCTCAAATGATTTCTCGCATTGTTCTTTGCCTGTCTTGCACTTTGAAGCCGAGCAAGGCTAAAGCAGAAGATATCCTTTAGGGTGGGATATAGTATGCATAATAGGCATATAATATATAATTAATGTGCTTGAAGTCGCATCACAATTTAATATGCCCATTGGAAGTGTATATAAAATGTGTCCCGCTAAGCTGCGCTCATCAATAATTTGATGGCAATTTCTCGCATCTCATATTGATGCATGGCAATTTGTATAGATTTTCCTGGTATTCAAGCTGAAGGCAAACGCATCGCTATCGTTGCCCACGATTCAAACTATGCCGCCACCGCCACCGCCCCCGCCCCCAGCCCTGCCCGGCTGTCCACCTTTGGCTCGGCGCCTTGATACCTGCCACGCCCTAAACGGATGTTGTTTTTGTTCTTTTGTTGAACTTCCTTTGTCTTAACGGCTTCTCGTTTGCGTTTGTAAACGTGTCAATAGACCAGGGCTTAAGCATAGCCCCTGCCCGAAGCTCTTGAGCGCCAAACTTTTCATTTTTTGCGTAAGGAAAATTTGACTAAAAACAATAACGAGAAAAATGTTGTTGCCTCCGGCAGCGATTGCTTTAAAGAAGAAACAAAATGGCGATATCCAAGGGCAGTTTTGTAGCTATCGAAACTCGCAGTTGCCTGTGTTTTTTTCTTAGCTTATCTCATATTATTTTATTTTATACTATTTGGTTTTCATTTATTTGCATGCCACACACACACACACACACACACACACTCGAGCACTCTCACCCACACACGTGCAATACAAGGAAACAACAAAAACTGACAGCTGGAAAAAGAAGAAAAGCATTTTAACAGCACAACACAGGGCATGCGAGACAGACAGAGAGTAAGAGAACATGGGAGAAACAGGTTAAGAATTATAAAAACAAGTGAAAAAAACATAGTGAAAACTTCAGCTAAACGAAGTTGAAATACTCTAGAAATGGAAAGTACTGTGAGACATTCATATATGAATCGATTGCGAGGAAAATTACAATAGGTGTTTATCTCAAAGCAATTCTTTGCCTTGCTTTCTAGTAGCTTTCGGTGGAAAGTCAAGTTCATGCATGAAAATCTTTCTTGTTTATCAGGATAATTTGACAACTCGCTGTTCTATATATTATATTATAATATAATATAAATATTGATCAAAGTCAAGCAAACAATAGAGTAAACTATATAGATATTAATTTAAATATTATGTATAGATATAGCCAAATTACTTGTATATAGATTATATATATATTTGTAATAGAAATATAATAAGAGATTATATTTTTATATTTTTGCATAACATAAACAAATTGTGGCTCAAAAAACCGAAACGCTTTTGCTGCCAGAGGTTATTTGAGTTCGTGAAAATTAATGCTTAAGACTCCGACAAATGGATGAAAATTCTCGGAATTCTCGGAAATGAGAATTTTATATTCAAGGTGTCAGTTGCATGGAAAATGACAAAATTTCAATTGCCAGAAAATTCAATTTGACGGAGGTGAAGGCATCCTGTCAAAGCAGTCGCAAAATAAAAAGCCATTGATTAAAAAATACAAAATATAAAAAACAATTTAAATAGGAAAACGCATAAATAAGTAGGTGCTAATGGGGATTACGGGGATGACAACACGCGCCGAATATAAATAAATCTAATTTATCGAGGCTATACAAATGTAATTGGAGTTTCAAATTCTTTCGATTAGCTAGTTGTGCGGTCAACCCGATGTTTAATGCGGGTTCAAAACAATTTAGCTGTGTGAGCGAGCGCGCGTGTGTGTGTATCCGTGTGTGTGTGTGTGTCCGTGTGTGCGTGTGTGTGTGTGTATCCGTGTGCGTGCTTGCGGTGCAGCGAAAATCTGCATAAATTAGCTGGGGGCCAGGTGCCAGCCAAGCGATGGCGTAATTTTATGTAAATTTAATTTAAAAACTGTTCTACAAATGCAAAACAACAACAAGTGGCATGTGGCACGAGGCAACAAGGGAGACCCGCATACACACACACACACACACACACACACACATGCGCACACACGCACACACAAATAACGAGCCGCGCCTGTGCATGTGTTAATGTGGCAGACATTATCTATGCATATGCCTGTGCTGGCGTGTGCGTGTGTGAATGGGTGTGTGTGTGTGTGAGCTTGTGTGCGTGTGTGTCTCTGAATGTGTGTAATTGCCGGCTTACAGTTGTTTATCAACAGGAAAAGCAAAGCACAATTAAAATCACTTGTCTGCTTGTTGTGTTTTGCACTCCTTCTCTCTTTCCCTCTCTCCTCTCTCTTTCTGTCGCTCGGCTCAGCATCTGCAGCTTATGCTTTCTCGCTCTTTTGTGAAATTTCGCATTAAGCTTTGCTACATATATATACATACATATAGATATATATATGTATTTCTTAAATATATCCAGACACAATCACAACAGCATTTTTTTGCGCCCTACTCCTGCTGCTGCATGTCACCACATCTTGTACTGCCTCTTGCCACTTGCAGCTGCCACATTGTCGTCTCATTTTGAATTGTCCTTAACAACAATTTGTTTTTCCTTTTTTTGATTAGCCTTTGCTCTCGCCTTCGATTGGCTGCCATCATTAAAGTCTTCGGCGCTTCGGCATACGCATTCGCACTCGTTTTGCCCTTGAAAGCGTGGCAAGACGGTGATGACAGGGGCCTTAATGCTTATCCCGGCACAAGGACGATAAAATCCTGGCGCAGGGATAACGTTGGCAAGCCTGGGTGGGCTGGCATTATACGGCGCTGACAGCAATGTGAGCTGCTGCGACACCCCAATACTTAGAATACTTCGATATAAATAGCTGCATGATGTATATTTTTTTTCTTACTAGTTTGTCCAACTACTTTTCTTCCTACGCGAAGTTTTTGTTTCCATTTCAGAATATAGGTATAATTATTTTTTCCAACGAACTAATCTATCTGAAATCACGCACTAA